ACGGAACTAGATACAGAAGCACAGGATGAGGCCTTTCAACAAGCAAGGAAATACAAAATATGGCTGTTATCGTCGTGGTGATTTGGTGTTAAGGGAACAAATTAAATGACACATAAAAATTGTGTGGAATTGAGTAAGTTCTCAGTAAACGGTTCTGGTAGGAGACAGTTGAACCAGTGGGTGTAAGTTGGGGCAGTTTTAGTGCTCTTTCCCTCCCTTATGAATGAAGTTGAGGTTTTAGCTTTACAGTGTCTCATTTCTGGAAAGTCTTTCACAGTCTTCACCAAAACCTCTGAAGGCAGTGGAGTCCCTGCCTTCTCCAGAAGGGATAAGGCCTCTTCGCCTTGCCCTGATGGGAGTCCTGTGCTGTTGCCTGTGTGTGGACAGGATGAGCACAAAGAACTAACTGGGCCCCACATACTCTGTAAGCATGATTACTCCTTTCTTCTTTATGGTCGCTGTTTCATTAACACACATGATTTTGCACTGAAGAGGTGCCATTTAAATACACCTAGAAACTGTAGCTGGGGTTTGGGGTGTCAGGGAAACTTAGCTGGTCAGTGAGAGGGAATTTGGTGTCTTGATCAGCTGTGAAAAAGTCTGTGAGGAAAAAAGAGAGCAGGAAGGAAAAGAAGCATTACCACAAATAGTAAGAGTGTCTCGTTGTTGTTTTGTTTTTGAGATAAGGATTTCTTATAATCCCAAGCTCCCCTTGTACTGGTAGTCCTCAGGCTCTTGAGTGCTGAGTGTTAGGATTATAGGCTTGTGCCTTCGTGCCTGGGCACATGTTTGGCTTTTAAGAGTAGATTAATCGGACAAAAGGGCCAATCAGTGAGAAAGCACTTGCATTAATTCCCTTTCTTGTTGGCACAGCTGTTTCCCACCCACGCATGAGTGCCTGGCTACTTGTGTCCTTTCAATAATCTAAAGGTTTTTCTGCTCCAAAAGATTTAGACTTGAATGAAGAGGAGCAGAGAAAGTTCCTACTTTGTGCCAGGCACGGCGTTAAGGGGTACTCACAGCAGTTCTCCGAGATACTGAACCCTCACTAAATAAGTAAAAACAGCTTCGGAGAATCCGAGACCTGTCTGCAGTCAGCTAGAGAGCAGATTTGAGGGTTTTTTTTATATTTTTTTTTCTAATGAGCTGTAGTTTATTCCACTCTCCAAAGGCCCTGGTCCACCCACTCAGTGGGTTCATGGATTTGAGGATTTTAACCTGGGACTTCTGATTTCTTTCATCACACTCTTCTGTTTCTCTCCTTCCGTGGAAACACCACACAAGTTTTCTTTCTTTTTTTCCCCCACTTAGCGCATACTAACACATAAAACAAGACATTGACCTCCTCCCCAACCCAGGTCCTTCCCCATCCCTGGCTTTCCTGCAACTTTCTCTTATTCTGGTCTTTTTTGCACACTAACACAGTGAGTCTAGGAATAAGGTTTAAAAACATGAGGCCCATAGTTGTTCCGAGTGCTGGATCAAAAAATTCTATTATTTTTTTTCTTCCTTGCCACCTCCTGAATGAAGAAACTTGCCTTCTTTTTGTAACAATCACTCCCAAACACCGGCATTTCTAACTCTCCTCCAACTCCGTCATCATTCCTGACGCCAAGTGCTCTGGAGATCTGGACTGACTTCTTCATCCCCCGGTATTGTTAACTCACAATGGAGAAGAGAAAGGAGTGTGCTTAGAGATGAGCAGGCCCCCTGTGAAGTCACACTTATGGCTTTGGATTAGCATCTGTCACGCTTACAAAAACGATGTTGCTTAACTGTCAAATCCTCAGCTTCATGCAAAGCTTCTGTGCTTCAATACCTGTGGTGACTCAGTCTCTCCATTCAAAACGTCCCCAAATCGCTTTATGTCCCTGGACTTCTAAAGCTAATTTTTGCCTATTGGCATTTCAAGGGCACAATGGGATTCAGGCTTCTTCCATAAAGTCATGAGAGCATGTTTTGGGGGCATGTCCGGAATCAATAGAGTGTCTTCCCTGACATAACCCTCTCCCTGTAAGAAACCTTCTATAGAAATGTGGAGGTTTCCTAACTACCAAGTTTGGTGGTGCTGGGTGGTATTTCTAGTTCTAAGCTAGATTCAGTGCGATCCGAATGTAAGTCTCTCGGTGTTTCCCCTAAAGTACGGAGACTAATATGTTCCCCACAATGGGCTATGATGAGCAATCAAAGAGAGTGAGTGAAAAGTCTGAACAAATAGCTCACTAAATAACTTGAAAATTAAAGGAGGTAAATATAAGAGGGGCTAGTCAGGAACCATGAACCACACACACTCTTTGTATTGAATCAATTTAATACAAACAAACTTTAACTAAGTTGTTGGCTACGCGATTTTAGAGGTTTTCAAAGGAACGCTGAAGACATCATAAATTTAGTGAAAAACGTTCATTTTAAGGGAAAGAAGGAAAAAAACGTGAAAGCATACAAATTTAGAGAGGACGTAACCCTGAAGAGTGAAACACAGTTTTGGAGAGGCATGGCTTGGCTAGCTTGGGTGATGGGCCGAGAAAAGTAATGAATGCTGTGGGTGTAAACGTGTTTTTGTTTTGATCCCAGGTGTAGGATATGGGACAGATTCACAGCAGCAAACTATTTGCCTGGTGCAGGCTCTGAGAGGGGCGGTTTGCCAGCTGCAGATAGTTTAATTCTGAGGACTCTGGAGAGGGAATAAATGCCAGAGCCCAGGAGTGTTGATGAGCTTGGAGAAAGAAGAAGGCTGCTGGTACACGCGAGTGCGCGCACACACACACACCTGCTGCTCCTGGCTGCTGTTGAAACAGTTGGATGCAAAGACGTTGGAGATCTCCTGAAAGGAAGATTGGACTTGCCCCAAGAAACCTGAGGACCCTAACCGGCAGGAAGTAGCTTAAGAGAACTCCACCCCTGTCTCAACTAACCTTCTTACCTCCTACCTGGTGTTGGGGTATTTGAAGGGACTAGGGTGAAGAAGAGAGGAAGGGGCATAAGAAACTCAAAAGTAAATAGATTTAAAAAGGGAGTTACAAATGAAACTGGCTCTATGAGCAAGGAAAAAAACAACAGCCCTGCAACCTGCACCCAGGTGCTGCCAGGGCAAGGAGGCGAGGCTGCTGGAGAGAAGGTTATCACCTCAGGATCGCTGGCACCCTCAGTCGAAGGGGTAAGCAGAAAGCAGGAAAGAGGAAGGGACAGGGATAGACGACGCAGTTTTCCTCTCTTGCCCTCTAGTGGTCAAGTCGAGCAGAGACGCTGGCCGAACAACAGAGGTGTTTGCTACGTACCACCATTAGGTATCTCAGAGGTTGCTGGAGAAGTCAGGTGGAGGTTGGCGGAGCCGAAAGATATAACTTAACGGCAGGAACACAGATCAGTTTACCCTGAACTCGACGTATTCCAAAATAGTCATCCTTGGATGTCTGGAATCTCCACAAAATATCATTTACTTCTAGGTTCTCTCTATCTAAATTACACACACATATCGTCACATCTTATCAATTATCTATCTCTCTATCATGTACGTATGTATGTCTAATCTATGTACCTGTAATATCGCTTATCTGCTATTGTGTGTGTGCGTGCGCGCGCGCGCGCACCTGTGGAGATCAGAAGACAACGTTCAGGAGTTGGTTCTTTCCTTCCACGGTGTAGCTTCAGGGATCAAACACAGGTCATCAACCTGGCGGCAAGAACCTTCACCTGCTGAGCTATCTCACCGGCCCTCTTGCTTTTTTTTTTTTTTTTTTAGACAGGTTTTCACACGGTAGCCCAGGCTGCCCCCAAACAGCAGTTCTTCTGACTTAGCTCCTAGAGGACTGAGATGACAAGGGTACTCACTCTTGGTTTTATTTATTTATTTATCATTTCTACATATGCCTGTCTGTGTACACGCACATATGTGTGGCTGCGTGTGAAGACCGGAGGGCACTGTCGAATGTCTGCCTTTACCACTTTTAATCTTATTTTTTTTTTTTTTTTTGGAGACAAAGTCTCTCATGGAGAGACACAGAGCTCAGTCAGACTGGCTTGCCAGTAAGCCCCAGAGACCTTCCTGTTTTGGTCTCCCTAGGCCTGAGTTCACGGGCACGTCACTCTCAGCTTTTAATGGCAGTGTTGAGGACCGAACTCAGGACCTCATGCTTGTCCAGCAAGGATTTTGCCAAGGAAACCACCTACTCAAGCCTCTTCTTGACCATTAAGGTTGGGGGTAGATGGGTAATTTCTTCCCTCACTTTTATAAGCATGTGAGTGAAAGCAAAATGTTTACTCATCTGCAAAACGTGATATCAGAATATGTGTCACACGACTGGTCTGGTAAGTGAAGTTACATCTGTGTGGAGTCAGATTAGCCTGTAGTACCACAGAGGGAGGGATAAAAAGAAAAACATGCGAGGAAGGGAATAATCAGAGCATTTTCTAGACCTTCTAAGCAATGATTCCTTCAGGTTTTCACATCCCAAAGGGTGCCATAGCAATCTTCAAGAGGCCATAGATTCTGGAACCCTAGATTCTGTGATTGGTGATGAGGACATAGGTGATATTTCTAATTCCTTTCTTCCAACACTCACTTTATTTCTTTATTGGTCTCTCAGCTGGTCAGGGTTCTTAACCGGGGGTGGGGGGTATGATCTTAACCTTTATTCTTGAAGGTCTGGATCCACAGTGGTCCTATATTTTTGCTGTTAATTTTCCACTAATTTTTTTTCTGCCAAGTCCTTCTTCTAGACTCTTCTTCTAGTCTTTTCTCACCACACTTGAGTGATCGCAATCCAAACTTCACTGGAGATTCAGGATCAAGGGCAAAAGGCAGTAGAGTGACCCCCTTCTCTCCCTGTAAGTTCAGTGACAGGAAAAGACCAAAATAGGGGTGTACAGCTTCCTAAGTCACTGTTCTGCCTCCTCGTGAAAGTGTTTTTTCCTTAACAACCAAGACCTCTAAACTGGCAGAGCTCATAACTGTGGGACAAGAGGCAAGACAAAGTTTTCATTTAAAAGTTACAAAGTTCAACTCCTGGCAACGGGCATAAGAGATACCTTGGTGGTGGTGGTGTTCTTATATCAGTCAGGAGCCGAGCAGATGGCAGTCTTGTTCACCCTAGCTTAATGCCTGGCTTGGTGGCCAAAGCTGTCTTATGCCTAGGACTCCGAAAATCAAACCATATCAAATCCAGGCAGCGCAGCACAGCAGGAGGAAAGCAGAGACTTGTGGACCACCATGCTACCCATGGACCTGGTCTCCAGCGCATGGCACGTGGGCCATAGCCACCCGCTTACAGCCGTATACCACCATGCAGCCTGGATGGATGATGTGTCCCAGGGGCCTGCCAGCTGTATGGCCAGCCTGAAGCAGGAGTCGCTGCAATGTGGTGGACAGATGGGGGAGAAAGAGAAATGGAAGAGAAGAGCATTATGAAGAGAGATGGAACTAGAGGTACAAGGGTGGAGAGTGGTCATCCCTGCCAACTGGGGCCATGGTGAGATCCCAGCCTGAGCTGCCACTAGAGAACATAGCGATGTCCCTGGTGGGGCAGCCACAGGGGACCATATGGATGTTCAGGGGTATGCATAATTGCCCCCTTAGTGGCTGTAGCGCTCGGGAGAGTGGGCCACAAGCCTTGACTAGGAAGCACGGTGCCGCTGACTCTGGAGATGTGAGTATAGGTGAGTCGGCCCTAAGGGCTTGGAAGCAGGAGAGCTGACCCTGCCTCCTGCTGATGGCAGCATGGGGTGGCCTAGCCAGAGCAGTACTATAGAGCTTGCCCTGGTGGTACAGATAAGAGACAGCCAGTGGGCTGACCAGCTCTGCTACCACCCAGGCCCAGATCCAGGGCTCTGAGGCGGCCCACCTCAAATCTATATCATCTGCAAACAGTTGGATACGTGAAAGAGCCAGTTCCACTGTCCCAAAGCTGCAGGATCTCCATGACACAGGGCAACAACTTGAAAACTGGGAGAAGTCCTGATGAGGCTCCGGTATTGATGGTGTCAGAGAAGCCAGTGATCTCGAACAAGACCAATGACTCATTGCAGTGAACATTTGCAAGTGAAATGTGTGGACAGAGGGATATTCTCTGGAACACACTGTGAGGTACTACAGCTTCCACGAAGTTTTCAATGCTTTGTTTTGTTGTTGCTTGTGTGTTTTATTTGGGGCGGGGGGAGGTTGCAAGGGCTAAGAGCAGATATGAGGGGATGGGGTGATGAGTGGGACTGGGGTGTATAATATGAAAACTACGAAGAATCATTAAGTTTTAAAAAAGTTATGGAGTTAACTCTTACTCCTATTGTTTCAGCTGACATGAGCTCAGCTGATGCAGGTCACAGGCTCAAAGCATATTATAGATCCTGTAAGGAATTATTCTTCAGTGTGTCACAAAATGATGCTACGACAGTCTTCAGGAGGCCATTGGTCTTCTCTGTTAGGCTTGCTGGTTTGGGGTAAGAATTTATGGGTGAATGTTAATTAGTTCTATAGACATGAACTTATTTTTTTTATTTACTTTGTAAATACAAAGTGATACAAAGTAAATAAAATGAATACATTGTATTTACTTTGCTATGAGATGAGTTATTGATTGGAATCAATGTTGTGTGGGGTAAAAATCACAGAAGAGAAATCATTCTTTAAGCCTAGGCTATGCACATCCGTATTGAGAGCTCTGATCTTATAATGAAGTCACTTTACCGTGAGTTGTGTATCTGGTCTATACAGAGGCTGGTGTCAAATAAGGTGCTCCTTGTTAAAGGTAGAAGGGTCTAGTTTAATACTGGAGTTGGAGACATCTGTGCTGTGGAGCTTGGGACTCCATCACTGCCTGGGACAACAGGCTCCATTGTAGATGGTGTGTCAAGCAAACACTGACACAGCTGAGGAAAAGAGCTGAATGACACCGAGAACATGACATTGTATCGCCGTGACTGCTGAGAGACTTCAGCACTATGATCATAAACACACTGGGGTTGGGCCTGGTAGTTCCGGCTTATCATCTCATCAGGCAGCCAATGGAGAAAGCTTAGTCCTTGACTGAAACACAGTGGTCTACAAACTGTCTCCTTGCTTTGTGGGTGTTTAATGGAAATAATCAGGTTTGAAAACTGTCAGAATTCTCACCTTTTGTGTGCACCGACCTGAAGAATTAAATTTTAACTTAAATGACAAGAAGTGGAAGGTCTAAGTAGGAACTGCTAGACATTCCCTTGGGTATTAAGATAACTAAGCCAAAACTGTTCCAGTTCCACTGAGAAATCTTGAAGATGGATGCTATTGCCAGGGACTTGAAACTAGCCAGGATACTGAGACACTCCCCTGTGTAGTTCACTACGTTGGAGAGTAATAGAATAATTACACACTATTATCTTAAACTCATTCAGGTGGTGACCCCAATTGACCCTGATATCCGAGATGTAGCATGTCTCCTGAGGCAAATTAACACAGTGGGCAACTAAAAATACTGTTCGAAAATACCCCTTCTCCCCTCAGGCTATAGTTTGTTTTTCCCGACTGTGACCAACAGTAAGGTTCCTATCACTGCCTCAGGACAATGTCAGCTCACCTGCTCTGTCATAACTCACACTGGAGAGAGCTTAATCACCACGACTTTCCAGTCATACCGATTATGTCTGATAAACAGGAAGTAGGAAGCATTAGCTGTCTTAGCCGAAGAAGAAAAAAAAGGAAAAGAAAATCATTACTTCAGTGATGTTTAAGAGTCCTGTTGTCTAGAACACGTTGGGATCTCTCCTTGAACACTAGAGAAATACTGCCATACCCTGTACCTTTAACTTACTTTAACTGGAAAAATGCACAGCTGTTTCTGGAATCTGGGATATTATCAAGACATTGTCTACTCTATTTGAGCATGATAGTCCAGCCTGTTTAATGATAACTCAAAAAGCTGTTGGAGCTTAGGAGAACAAGAACGATGGAAGGCACTTTAGCAAACCTCCGTTTGTAACACAGGCTGTTACTTCATTTGATCCTTACAAGGCAGCACATCCATTGATGGTGGGGATGTCCTGAAGAATACGGTCGCTACATGTAGCCTCTGACACGAGGTAGAAGGGTTGAGTGAAAATACACACCTTCAGAAAATGTCAAGCTACTGGTAAACTCGTGGAATGCTTGTGAGCAAAACCTCCCTGAAGGCAGCAAACAGCTACACTTGTAATAAAATGCTATCTGGCCACCAAGCCGTAAGGTTGGGTACCTACCAGAGCGATGTGCTAAAAAAGAAAAGTGGCCCTGAGGTTTGAGAATATCTAAATGGCACAAGTGAGTTAAATGAGCAGTGGTCTGGATTTTTGATACCTCATTGTGCCCTCTCCTTCAGTCCATGTTTGGCCTCATGGATAATTCCTTCTGAAAAGCCTGTTGATCTGTTGAGAAGGACTTAATGGTTCACAGGTAACCCCAGAGAACATATTGGAGCAACTGAACGTAGATAATCCCCACCATTCCTGAAAGGACAAGCTGTGGTTTTCACGAGGAATGGCTCATCAGACGAGCCCGGTCAGAAACGTAGAGTTTTCCCCGGCCAAGAGCAGAGAGCAAGTGAGAGAGATGCTACCAGACTCCCAGAGGGGTTCAGTGTAAAGAAGGAGTGGGCTGGCCATTTCTGTTTTGGCACTGGAGAGGCTCTGCAAAAGGTGTGGGCAGTAAATGATGACAAATGTCAAATAGTGAGTTATGAAGAAGACCCAGGCATCCAGATAAGATTCATTCAACTGAAGGCATGATAATTTATGCAAATCACGCCACCCATGCAGTAAACTTCCCGAATTCAGTTTTGGACAGTGTCAGTTCTGTGACTGCCGGAGATGAGAGACGCTTCAGAACTTTCGTTCTCTGTCTTTTCTGGACCCCTGATAATGATGTGGCTTGGGCGTTAGGATCCCAAGTTAGTCCCTTTCCTGCCGAGGATGCTGCAGCGTCATGCCAGAGCGTATTCACTTCCTCCTCTTTTATAGTCATCACCACTGTCAGAGCCAAGAACAGCAGCCAAACGAGCCCCTGAACCATGAGAGTTAAGTAATAATGTGTGAGTCTATCTCATTTCCTATCAGCAAGAAATTTAGCAGCAAGTTCAAGTTCAGGGGCCCTATCAAAGCAGCCACCAAATTCCATTGTTGGAGGAGGTCCTTTTTTTTCGGGGGGGGGGGGGATACTTTTGGTGCTAATACTTATGTTATCAAGGGTCCGGTAAGGAGGGGGAAAGTGTCATCCCCTTCCCCCCATACACACAACAAATTTAATACGAGCCATTATTAACTAGCTACAGGAGGCATTAGCTGAGTAGTTAAAAAGAGGGCAGCTTATCAGAGAAGTAGCAGCTATAGGGAGGGAAGGGTCAGAGTAATAAAACACATAAATTAGGTGGGCGTGTCCTGAGGGGCTGACTCATTATATATCTTCTTGATGTTATCTGGTGTTCTGAAACTGGAGGTTGGCCCCCGTGGACTCAGAACTCTTGAGTATGGGTGCTGGGCAGCTTGGAAAAAATCCATCACAGAAGCAGGGATGTGGTTCGCCTGGCACCACCACCACCGGCCTCCCAAAGCTGAGTGAGGAGGGGAGAAAGCAGGATTACAAGACAAGAACCAGCACACCAGCGTCTAGGACTTCCTCCAAAGCCTGTGACTCCTGAAGTAATCATGTTTTTTTTTTTTTTAATCTTAGAAAATTTTATTTTAATTTGGCTTGCTCTCTGTATTATTAGTATGAGTGTGTATGTGTGTGTGTTGGGGAGGGTGGGGTCATACATGCTATGGTGTCCACGTGTAAGTTTTAGAGGGCAGATCTGTGGAGTCGGTTCTCTACTTGCACCTCTTCATGGGTTCCAGAGGACTGAACCCCGGTTGGCGGGCACTCAGCAAGTGCTTCACCAGCTGAGCCGTCTTGCTGGCCCAGGCTGGGGAACCTTGGCATGCTGTCCATTTAATCCGCTAGTCGGAATTCAGCTTCTTTCTTAGGAAAGAATATTATCTCACCTCTTACAGACTTACCCACGTGTAAGCCGGGGTATGCATATCTGCTTTCATAGGATTGATACAAGGGTCACACAAACTAATCCTAGATGATGTATTCCTGACGCGTATTAGCATGTAGGGCAGTATAATACAGTACTAAACAAGCTGGGTTGCTTCCCATCTTTCTCCTTCCTGTGCATATTTTCAGGACCCTTTGTTCTGCCTCTTGTCCCCCATTCTTTCTCAGTGTGCCTCCCCTCTGACTTCGCTCCTCTATTTTGCCCTTTCTTCCGTGTGTATTTCTTTCCCCAGCCTTTAACAGCTTAATTTGTTTCCCATCCTTTGGTTGCCAATAACCCTCTGCCACTAATCCTCTACTAGGGAAACATTCCCACTTCTGCTTTGGAATTTGACATGTGAATCCTCTTACCATTTTTTTTTTGACTTTTTGATATAGGAAGTTGGCAAGTTTGAGAGTTGATTGCAGCCTATTGCATCGTGTGACAGGAATGCTCTAGGCTTCTGGGTTTGGAGAACCCAGATGGAGTCCCACTAGCTCTTCTCACTGGTAGGCTAGCTGCCGGCGTCGGTGCAGCCTCATCTATGTCAGGACCAGGGCACTGCCATCCTCAAGGGACTTTGCTGTAAGCATCAGGCACATGTCTCAAATAAGGAGAGTAAGAGTGGGACAGGGAGGAGAGGAGGGAGGGGGCTGTGATCAGACTATACAGTGATCAGAGAAATAAATTAATGGAAAAGAAAGAGTTGGCTGAGGTGTTGAGGACGTGAGTACAGAAACAGGCACGCTCCGTTTATCTGAGGAAGAACGCTGCCTCAGAAACTTAAACCTACAGCTTTGTAGGTTTCATTAGATAGGCCCGTGATTCTCCTGTCCTGTAACCTGTTTTCTTTAGTCTTCCAGTGTTAGACCACAGACATCTGCACAGCACAATATGTAAGAACACTTAAGTTAACTATTAATTGTTTCCGTGTCTTTGGTAGAATGACCTATCGTCGAACCATTTAGCATATGTAGCCTTTTCAGACTAGCTTATACTTAGCTTATTTTTACTAAGCCAGATAGCATTCCATTGCACAGAGGTCCCACAGTTTGTTTATCCCGTTCACCTACTGAATGATATCTTGGTCACTATCAATCAGTATCAGTGAAAGGTTTTCAGTGTAGGTATAAGTTTTCATCTCACTTGAGTAGATATACAGAAACACAGCTTATGGATTCTTTGGTAACTATGTTCAGTTTGTAATAGGGCATCGGAATACCAATGCATTCTGCATACCCATCAGCAACAAGTGAGCTTTTCTGTTGCTCTACATCCTCATCAGTTGTTGCTTTGGATTTAGTTTAATCTATTTAGTATGCAGTTCTTTTTTTTCTCACTTTTTTTTCCCATTGGGAAGGACCTTCAAGGCTCCCTGGAAGGACTCCCTCCTTTGTGAGGCCTCTCTTGCTTGCTGTCACCATCACACAGACCTTACTGGTCCCATGGTGAAGCAATCGCTTACATTTTCATACTCTGCTGCTCACTCTCTGTCTTCTCTTTTCGGTCAGCCAACCCAAGATTTTATTTCCAGTGTGTGGATTATCTTGGCCATTTCTGAGAGCTCTTGAGACATTATTTTCTTTTCGTCCCGTTGTTCTGTGATCTCCTGGGTGACTTTTGCCTTTTTCTGAATCGATCCACACAGGAAACCCGTCCACTTCAATGCTTTTCACAGAAAATCTCAACAATTGTGTGAATTTGTTGACTTAATGGGAAGGGACCCATTAAGATCCAAGAGCTCCCAATGACAATACTCTCTCTCTCTCTCTCTCTTTTTCTGTTCTGTTTCTAGACAAAATTTTTCTTCCAATCTTAATCGTTCTTATTTCATGTCATTGTAGTAGGATTTTGGTGCTTCAAGGCCTTTACAGAACCCTTATTGTAAACAGGCCTCCCAAGACATATTGGCCACAAACACAGCCACCCACGAAGGGTTCTCCTGTGAACTAGAACAAGACTACAATTTATCTCATTACATCGGAGCTACTTGAGCACATGCTTTTTCTTTCTGGATAGCCAAGTTGTCATGGGTAGGAATTGGCCCTTCATCTTTCCATCCTCTACATTCCTTCCAGTTTCCTGCCTCAAAGTGGTTATTAATGCATTTTCATGGAATGAATAATACATGATGCATGGGTAACTTCAGTCCCTCAGAAGAAACAAATGAATCCATTTAAGTACATTTTCTAAAATCACAAGCAGGTGACATACTAGATACACAAGTAGAAACAAACATGGTTTTCTTTGCCCAGGATATAACCTTTATTAGGAAACATCATAAGACACATCAGGCAAGCTAATTATGATCCACAAAATAAAGAAGGGCTTCGATGACCACCTGTAGAAAGGTCCAGCCTATTTCTAGAGGCTGAAAGTTGAGTAAAGAACTTCCATTTTCTCTGATCACATCTGAAGAATGTCTCTCAGCTGTAGTCTGGTGTCTTTGATGTTAGGAAAGCTTTAAGTAAACAGAAGATTAAAAATTGGTCACCGAGCAGGGTGAATAGAGCTTCGGACTGTTCTTAAGAAAATATTCCCCAGGATTTTGCCAATTTCCAATTCTCAAAGAGTTTCAGCGCAGCATATCCAGAACAGTTTGGTGATGAGCATGTGGGTTCTCAGCATTTCTGGATCCCGTGTAGAGGGTGAAGATATTGACTATAGAACAGACTCAGACAGTGCTGTGATGTGTCTGTACTCTGCGGTCCTACTACAGACAATGAAGTAAAGGTTTAAGAATCTGTTACTGGTCCAGGGTTATTCAAGGAGATGTACAATTCACGAATACCATGATCTGGGCAATTGAAAAATCTGTAACCTGGCTCTTAGCAGCAGTAGCAGCAGCAGGCTGGGCGGCAGCAGGATTGCCCACAGTAGGATGGGCGGCAGCAGGAGGCCTGGGCATGGTGCAGCTGGCAGCAGGTTGGGGGGATAGAGCTCACCACACAGCAGGGGGGCAGGCAGGTGCCCTCCACGCGGCAGTCTGGGCGGCACCATCTAACTCGGTAGCTCACAGCTCCGCTGCCACCCTCCTGGCCAAAGCCAAAGCCGCCACCGATGCCATAGCCAGCCTCACAGCAGCTGGGCTGAAAGCAGCTGGTCTCACAACAGCTGGGCTGACAGCAGCTAGAGCCACAGATGCCACCAGTGGAGCAAGAGGGAAAGCCACAGAAGCTAGTAGCACAGCAGGCCATGGTGTTTGGAGCTGGTTGGGTGTCGATGATGTCGGGAGCTTGGATGAGTGTCTGGGTTTGGGAGCTAACCTGAGCACGGCCCTTTATATAGTTGAGCGGACAGCTGTTTATAAAATTCTTAACATATTTTTCTTGTTTCTGTTTAAATTCGTTCCTCAGTGGTCCTCTGATTGGCTTCCATCGAAATACTTGTGACGTATTATGGGGATGACTTTGTTTTATAAGGTCGCCGTGACTCGTTCTGCTGGCCTTATACTCTTTAGGGTAATGTTTGTGGTTTCCACGTTCAAAGAAGTCTTCTCACTTTAGGTTAAGGCCACACCCTTATTCTGAATAGTTGTCATTCCATTGGCCATCTAAGCAAACCTCTAAAGCAGAAGACAACCTGCTCCTTCTAGGTATTTTCCCCCACCCCCCCCCAGGGGATATGGACCAAATTCTATCGAATTTAGAGCATTGGTAAATTTGCCAAACTCAGCGCACCTTTTGGTCACATGTAATAGAAGCATCTACCACATAGACTCTATCCAGCACTATAACAAACGACCTTGAGAGTTCTGTTCATTTCAGGCAACTGGAGCTGTGTAAATATAATGTGAATTTCAGGCCAGAGAGTATTTTCATCACGAACCAAACGACTTATTATTATTATTTTTTTTTTCAGAAAGTATCCAGCCTGATTTTCATAGAGTCTTATTAAATGTTTATTGAATCTGATTCAGTGGGAATTAACTAAGGGGGTGGAGTATAAGGCGTGATTCAGAGACGCCTGAACCATTCAAGAATGAGTAAATAGCACTTTCAAGTTCTAGCACCGCCCACTGAGACTTATTTGCTGTGAAGACATTAGAGAATGTCGAGCTATTTTTTTTTTGGTCTTAATTTAGTGGTTAAACAGAAGCTTAGGGAAAATATCTAGAAGTTATGACACCTTGAAAAAAATGTACAGCTATCCAATTTTCTTTTCCTCTGGAATGTACCATCTTGTTTGTGATCCGTGGTTGCTGCCAATTTAATGAGAGAGGTAAGTGCCGGGGACTTGTAAACAACCTGGAAAAAACCAAACCAAAACAAAAACCTTTCTTAGGTCTTCTTAGGCTTATGTATTTTATGTATTGTAGACAACTGCTTGTATAAGAATTATAGTTCGATGGTAGAATCTACCTCCTTTTGCTCTAGATTTGTGGTAAGTTCTTAAGAAAGGTGTTTTTCAGTTGGCTTGCAAATTATAAATTGTGATATTGCTGTTTGAGATTGCTAATGCACCTGTGTGTCGTGATGCCAAAACTCAGCAGTTACAGCCCAAAGCTGTTTGCTCTACAGTCACCTAGTGCAGAGGTATTGAAGCTAAAATAGCTGGGAATCCGTGGAAAGAAGACAGCCCGTGTTGTAGGAATTAAACCAAAGTTCTCTTTGGTTTGGGAGGGGGAGATATTTTTCAATCTAGTTAGTATATAATCCAGTTTATATTGTGCATGAATGAAGAAAAACATCTACTGTACTAAAAGGGACAAGGTTAGAGTTGGGTAGAAAAAGTCCATCCAGGGTAGCTCTATTGGTCTGTATCTATTTGAATAAAACAGTCACATATCTTAATAGCCAGGAAGGTTATTTAATGCACAGAACATTTTTATTAGCAGATGATTCAAACATAAGTTAACTCTCATACAACCATTTTGCCTTAGATTAGGTATCTATGCCTGAAGATTACTATCCTCTGTAGGCGGACAGCTTAAAATTAGAAGAAATCTATCCACTTGTGCATAAAACACTTTATTTGAGAGCAACAGAGTGCATTTAAGAAGAAAGCATGGCTGAAGATGCGTGGAAACCCAGAACCAGGGAAGGACGTCCACATGTCGAGGGAATGAAGTGCCGCCTCATCCCCTAGCACTGCCTAAGCAAAACAGAGTCCTCGGGAGACGCTGATTGAGACCTGTTTTCAGTGCACTAATTTCAGCACATCTGTGGGGATCCTGATGAATGGTTCCACCATCGGTGAGCCGGTTAGCAACATGAAAATGCTTGGCGTCCGCCGCACAGAGTGCGTCCTTAGTGATCCACGTAATTCTTCAGTGCTTTCTGTTTCATTTTTAGCTATTCAGGAACCTGACTCTTAACAGCTGGGCTCAGAGCAGCTGGGCTGGCAGCAGTGGCAGCAGCAGGCTGGGCGGCAGCAGGATTGCCCACAGTAGGATGGGCGGCAGCAGGAGGCCTGGGCATGGTGCAGCTGGCAGCAGGTTGGGGGTGTGCTGCTCACCACACAGCAGGGGGGCAGGCAGGTGCCCTCCACGCGGCAGTCTGGGCGGCACCATCTGGTGCGGCAGCTCACGGCTCCGCTGCCACCCTCCTGGCCACTGCCAGTTCCACAGCAGCTGGTCTGGCAGCAGCTGGGCTGACAACAGCTGGACTGGGAGCA